GTTCTTTTTCTGTGTTCTTCAGAGTCTGGGAACTTGATAATTAAATCTAAAGTCTTAAAATGGGGTATATTACCAAAGCATATGATATTTATAAACTTGATTACATATTTTCCCTCTACATTACTTTTGACATGTGTGAAATCTCATGGATTCAGAGAATTTTCAATTGACCTATACATAAAACATTCCAAAAATTATTTTAGCTGTAAATGTGACCCTTGTAAAAGGGGAAAAAAGCATCTTTCTTTTTTTTTTTTACCATTTGAAATAGGAAATCAAATGGATAGCTTAATTTGTATCAGATGTTTAATCTTTATAAGCCTCAACTTTATTAAATGGGATAATTTTCCACATATGTGGGCTTGTGAAGATTAAATGAATTATCAAATATGAACTAGTATAGTGCCTAGCAATTACTAACTTCTAAGTAAATATTATATGCTTCTATTGCCTCTAGAAAATAAATACAATAAATTTTTAGCACACAGTAGAAAGCATATATGGCATCCTTTATTACATCTTTATGTAATAAAGAGCTAATATGCTAATTAGACTGGGCAGCAGAACAACTTTCCGGGATGACCTTCGACCAGTGGATGGGGGGCAGGGCCATGAGGCAGCTGGACCGATGTGGTAGCCAGGGCTGCTGTGAGGGCCAAGGTGGCAGCCGGGGCTGCGAGGGCTGAGACCCTTGCATGGATTTCTGTGCGTCAGGCCTCTAGTTTATACAGTTAAATTAAGGTCTGAGAGCATGAGACTACTAGTTGGTACTTTGAATTTGCATGAAGAATAATCACCTACCATTCTATATTCTGAGAAATTCCTCTCTCATTGATCTGCTAGCTAGAGGAACATTCAGCTGTATGGTGATCTCTGTGACTAAACATTCTCTTCCCTTGTAAAACTTACATATACTTGGATCTTCTGTTACCAACTGCATTTGTAGCTGATCAATGTTATTGCTATTTTTCAATTTTCTAATTGCCTCTTTTCCTTTGCTAACATGTTTTCCTATATCACAGAAATATCTTCAGAGATTTTATCTAATATGTCTTGCATATGTAATTGAATATAATAATATGGAAAGTTGAACTTTGGAAACTTAATTTTGAGAATTGTCTAGTAGTTCAGAAATGTATATGAATGGAATTTTAAATATCTGAGAAAAGAACAATACTGGTTAAAAGAAACCTAATGACACTAGCAAGAATAATATCAAAGCCCCATTGCTTATAATTTTAGGATTAAAAGCTGCAGAGGTGTCATCACTCCCACCATCAGTTGTCTTGGATGCCAAAGAAATCACAACTCAAATTACCAGACAAATTTTGGTAAGAAACTTTTTAGCAATAAGAATTGTTTTTCAAATTTAAGGATACTTCTAGTGTATATGTTTATAATGGCCTTGGATTTAAGTACATAATAATTAAAATATTTCAAAGAATCCTCTTTACTTCTCAAAACATTTTGGGTTTTGTTTATTTCCTTTATTTTATTTTTTTAAATTAAATCTTTATTGTTCAGATTAGTACAGTTGTTCCTCTTTTTTCCCCCCATAGCTCCCCTCCTCCCAGTTCCCACCCCACCGTCTGCCCTTACCCCCACCCCATCCTCATCTATAGGTGTATGATTTTTGTTTAGTCTCTTCCCGCACCACCCACACCCCCTTCCCCCTCGAGAATAGTCAGTCCACTCCCTTTCTATGTCCCTGATTCTATTATATTCACCAGTTTATTCTGTTCATCAGATTATTTATTCACTTGATTTTTAGATTCACTTGTTGATAGATGTGTATTTGTTGTTCATAATTTGTATCTTTACCTTTTTCTTCTTTTTTCT